CTCATGACTTGCTTGTTTTTGGAAACTTGTGGAACCCGGATGTTGGGTATTATGGTTGGTTATACATTCATGTTGAGAATTATGTCTCGTGATGTGTTTGGTTAATGAAAACCTTTGGTGAAAACCGGGTAATGAATCCCCGTGAGCCCAGATAAGACTTGGGTTATGAAAAATGTTGTTTAACACCCATTGAATTTTCGAAAATGATTTTGAAAATTTTATACTGATTTTTGGAAAGACCGGAATTTCTGTAAAATCAAAGTGGGGTGTTACAGTTTGGTATCAGAGCCAGTCAGCGTTTCTGTAGACTGGTTTATATGTGAGTATGTGTTTAGACCTTGTAATATGACCACTCGTCTCCGTCACTCTGTGCTGCTTAAGGTATGTTTTATATAAGTATCAATGAAAATACTTATAATGTGGATTGTGATTTTGCATGAGTAGCAATGAAACTACTTTTGATGTTTTGTATGATTAGCAATGAAACTACTTATGAGGTTTCGCATGAGTAGCAATGAGACTACTAATGAAGTGATATATATGTTGTTTTGGGGCTTAAGAAATCTATCCACCTCAGGTTATGTGAACTCTAGTGTTTGACATTGAACTCTAGTGATATAGAGTTAAGTTCGGACTCTAGAGATTCTTAGTTGTGAGTTTTAGTATATTATTATTGAGATAAGTGTTGTTTATAGCATTTTCTTCGCTATAAGATTCGTTCAGTGTCCTTAGAGTAGGACCATTCGTGACCTATCTCGAAAGAGAAAGGTTAAGTACCGAGTGAATCTCTAGTGTATGAGATCACTCAGCAAATTAGAACCTCAGTCGTCGACGACCGAGAGTGTCTTTTAGAAGCCGTGAATTGGTTACTAATCGACCCCGTAGTTGGGAGAATCTAATGCGTATCACCGTCGTAACTCTTGAGAGTGGCTAAGCCTCGAGAGGGATGATTGTTGATAATTCTCGTACGTTAGATCGAGCGTAAGTGTAACACCCCACTTTGATTTTACAGAAATTTCAAATTTTTCAAAAAAAAAACAGTATAAAATTTTCAAACTCATTTCGAAAATTTAGTGGGTGTTAACTAACATTCTCATAACCCAAGTCTTATCTGGGCCTACGGGGATTCATTACCCGGTTTTCACAATCGGTTTTCATCAACCAACACAAACTCATGAATAAATATTCAAACATCAATCCCCAAAACTATAAGGGTTCATAAGATTCAAAATCCACACATCAGATTTGAAAATAGTTTGCACAAACATAACGTGCACCAAAATTTATTCAAGTTCAACGGAAGCCATAAATAATGCATAAATAAATGGACCGACCAACTCGTCCTTTCCTCGTCACCCGGCTGTCACTTAACCTGTATCGGTAAAGAGCAGGTGGGGATGAGCACAAGATGAAAAGCGTGCTCACCACTATGCACATATATCATAACATAATAATGAAGAGAAGGTATGGTTAGAGTATGAACATAAAACAATTACTCTGTCACGTCTCCCAATCACATCACAACATAATACTCACGTGTACACATCTTTCATTAGCCAAGGAAAGGAGATTCATTACCCTAACTCATGGGGGTACGTGCCATACGACAAGGCACGGCCTTTCATTAAGTCTTACGGAGACTTGTCTCGCAAGGGCAACCGTATTACATCGACGGGGACAACCGTACCGACGGCCGTAACAGCTCACATCGATAGGCTACATGGTTTACGTACATACTAAAATCATACCCATTCA